GCTTAGTCCTTTATTTAATAACCAGAATGTGTTGAGTGAAAATTTATTGTTACTTAAATTTATAACTCGCCCTTATGGGTCAAGTTTGAATTTGCAAGCATGGCGAAGTTCTTTCGTAAAAGCTCGAAAGCTTGCATCATGTCTCCTATTAGGGATGATATATTAGGAAAATCAATGACAAAGTGGGAAACAATTCGTTTGGAGCATTTCGTCCTTGAGGACTTCATCAGATTAAAATGATGTTTTCTATCTATGTGCAAGTGTCAATTTCTGGATAGCGATCTCTCATTCATACATGTGTGATTAAAGATCAACGAAAATCTCTTTATGTTTTTTTTTATATACAAATTAATTTTTTCTTCGGTTCTGTCAATTCTTCTGAGTTCCGTGTAGATGAACATAAATTGGCCCATATTTTTTCAGCGTTTTCGATTCTCGTATGACGAATGAATTTATTTGGATTAATATGAATAAACATACCCGTGAAAATGTCACGGTTTTGCTGTTTGAATTTTCTGACTAATCATAATTCTTAAGTTAATGATTCGATAAGATCCTTGCTAGTTTCCCGGCTGTAAATTACCCGTGAAAATTCCACGATTGCATCGTTAAATGTTTGAGCTTAACAAGTTTGCCAACATATTGCAATCACAAACATAATACCAGTTATTATTTAATGAAATAAGAGAGAACATATGAAAAGAATTGGAAAGTTTTTCCATTTTACTAGAGTAGTCATTAAACACACGAGAATATTATCTCCATCATCTTTTCTCTTTCTTTTCCTCTCTGAAACCAAACAGCGTCTCTGATATGTCTTTCTTCGTGCTCAAAACGGAATAGTCCATTAATCGTGAGGTACTGACAGAGCGTAACGCACTTTCTTGCTTACTATTTAAAGGACTAAGAACCAAAGTAGGAACGTTTTTTGTTTCACTTGTATACAACCTTTCTCAGATTTCACAACACGCTGAAAAACAAAAAAATTCTCCTGCCTATTTTCTCTTTATATTTGTTGGAGAAAACTAACTTTGAAATGAGATCGTCTTTGAGAGAAGAACATAAAAGGAAGAGAATTTTCCATGAAACCGGCAATGGAAGATTCCGCATCAAACGACGCATTTAACAGGAATTAAAAATTTAAAAAAAAAAATTAACATATTCGTGCTTCTTCATGCCTCCTGGTTGTTGGCCAATGGCAGAATTAACAAATTTGAATTTGAAGCGCTTTTGCATTAATGAAATCATTTTTGAAGTATCCTTTGGAAATATTCACTCATAAATCGATAAACTTCATTTGAATGATAAACGTGACTTTTTTTTTTAAAATCATTCCACCCGAAACAAAGGGAATAAAGCCACAAAGACGCACAGAGTTACTGACTGTGAAATAATATGTGAAAAGCATTATTAAACAGAGAGAACGGGAATCAAGTAGACAGAAGTTAATGATTGACATTGCATTTATATTTTTGAAGATCAAACTTGATTGGAAAGCAAGATGCTGGAAGAGAGTTTCATAAAAGACAAGTGCGAGAGAAGAAACGCTTAGTATAGAACAGGTAAATCTAGCTATTTCAACTGTAAAATGATGAGACCTATCTGCCTATCTAGTACTGCGTTTAAATTTGTAAAGTCGAGAGAAGTTCACTAGAACAATTACCTTCAAAATATTAACAGAAAAGGGACATGGAAGCTATGTTACGGCGGTGGGAAACTGACCGAAGCTGAGATGCCAGTTCAGGACCAATAACATTACAGATTCTTTGAATTTTATAAAGACTCTCTAAATACATAGCAGACGCACCAGACCAGATGTGGCAGCAACATTCAATGCATGGTCGAATGATGGACTGAAAATATTTTTAAACGTGTAAGAGAGATTCTGGTAAGAATCCACATTTTTGACACACATGGCGTAACTGTTGTTGCTTCTACAACTGCAGTAGGTCTCGTCAGAACACCGTAGACATTACAATGACATTACAATGAAGTATAAAATGAACGAGTCTCTCCGTCCTTCCAGACAATACCTTTGATATGAGAGAGGGCTATGGTGAATCCCTGGCGTCTGAGGTGACTCCAGGATGAAGTGTTGAGGGGGGATTGAATAATTTTTGTTCCTGGTCCCATTGTACGCATTGGATTCTCACTTTAAAATCAATCTCGTCATACTAAAAAAATCCTCTTTCGCACAAGTCCTATTCTAATAAATATGTATTCTGACTGCATGGATATGGGATCCCCGTAGGACCTTTTTTTTCTCAAGTTATTACTTAACCCACTCGGGAAATAATTTTTTTAACCCAAAAGACAAACCTTCTGGACAATGTCTGCATACTCCTCACAAAAAGATTGGTTGATTTTGTTTAGCTCCAACCTCCGAACCGGTTGTAGTTTATCGTCATACTAGGACTCCACAAAAGGACCATGATCAAATAAAAAAATAAAAACAAAACAAAACAAAAAAAAACTATTGTACTTGTGTCTCGGAATATTTATACTCTGCAAGCAATACCTCTCCTATTGGCGGAAGATACTCTGCCGTCTGAGTCGATCCAAAGGCGAAATATTACGGGTGCTTGAGTAATTAATATTATTATTTTTTTATTATTCCTGGCTTTTTTTAATTCATGCTGGATTCCCACTTTAAACTTAGCTTTCAGCTACAATTTTCGAAGTAACACTAAAAATCCAAAGGTTTTGGTTTCGACAGGGGAATTTTCAGCACCCGATCGTTTGTATAATACAATCTCATTGCATACTTATTTATATACATTTAGATTTATGACCCACCATCCTTTACTAGATATTCGATTTAATGATCCATGGCCTCCTATATGAGATAAAAATGTGAGGCAAATTATTCAGTGTCTAGAAAGAGAAAGCATGTGGCTTATAGTCTATTTGATATGTCCATTTTAGGCTATCTTATCAGTATATCTTCATAAACAGTTTCATTTTCACAGCGATCTATTGTCCATTGGAATAATCGAAGTTCTTTGCAAACAAATATCTCTATGCAAAACGAAGAGTGACGAGTTTAAACTTCCGGTAACATGAAAAAAGGTTTGAACAGTTTTCGTTATATATAAATAAAAATATAAGCAAATTAAAGTTGTCATATTTACATTATCACCATGTGCATAAAGGTTATATATGTGGATGGATGTATTTATGTATGTATAAACAAAAGTTTTGTCACTTAGCTGATTGATATTACCTTCAGCCTCCCGACTCCAGAGTTTCGTAGACGGACCCGTCCGTTCAATGTCAGCAGGTATCAGCAATTGACTACTTATCTCGATTTTTATTTTTTTTGTACTTATCATTGGTGCAAGTTTTTTTTCGTAGTGTGCGTGTACGTTCGTTCGCATGCGCCCGTCTGCGCGGATGTGCGTTCGTGTAGGGTATCGTGATTATTTGTCCTTCACTTCGTTTTTTCCATTTTACACTCGCTCCTTAGTTTTTCTATCTCTTTTTTTTGTCTCTTTCCTTTTTTTTCTTTCAATTGTAGCCATTTCTTGCTATTTAATTTCCGGTTTTTTTTGTTTTTTTTTATAGACATATCGTTTTTATACTTTCTAGTGTTTGCTTTGTGGTTAATATCACCAATATTTTTTCACGGCCCTAATTCAGCGTTGAAGTTACGTAGAAAAGCTACGTTTTTTAATATTAGCCTTCAAGAATGATAAACCCACGATATTTTGAAAATTATTGCGACGCCATCACCTTTCTTTTAGTGGTGTTGTAACAGACTTAACTGGTATCTAAAGTTATGCATCCTGTCAAAATTGAGTATCTTTATTCTAGGTGCAGCGTCACTACAAGATGTGGGTGTTCATGGCTCTCCACAATTTCCTAATATTCATAACTCTTAGTAATATTTGTCTTTTTACTATCCATCCACAACCCTGTTTCGCAATCTATTTACACAAACTCGCTAGGTAGGTTTATTCGATGTTTCTCTTTTGACTTCGGTATGTCTTGCAAGTGTCATATTTTCCAAGCCCTCTTTTCTCAGTATGTAAACCAGACATTTCAATTCTCATTTTCTGGTTCTAAGTACAAGTGCCTTCACGCCCCTATTCGTTTGAAAACTTCGTCATTGACCACATGTGCTGTCTATGGTATTCTTAGCCTTCGCCTATAGAACCACATCTCTGATACCTCGTCTCCTTTCCATCTGCGAGGAAATTGTCCAGTATTCGCTACTATATAGGAGGATTGATATCATATGACAGTTCAGCAACCTTGTCTTTATTTCTAACAATATCCTCTTTCTGAATATTTTGCCGAGTTTTTGGTTAGTACCCTTTTGTTATTCCAATAAGCCTTCTGATTTTGGTGCCATATTTGTCGTCTTCTGTTCTAAATATTTGAACTTCTTTTTTGATTTTTATATCTTCAATTCCTGGCACGCATCTTCGGCTTTTAAACTTGCTGACATTGTCTTTTAACAATTAATGATTATAATTTTCAAACCTCAAACTTCATGGTTTTCAGTTTTATTACAGGTTTAACTATCTTCTGTTTAAATGACCCACCACCCTTTAAACTTCCAGGACTGATATGCATATAAAAAACAAACAAACAAACAAAAAAACAACAACAAAGAAATGAAACTAAAAAAAATAACCAATAATAAAAGGGTTGCTGATATCTTATATCTCCAGCGGGACAAACCTCAACCGAATCAGTCCTGACCGAACCGAATCTAATGAATGTATCAGTACACCGCAGTTTGACAACTTAATTTCCGGAATTACCTGGTCAAAACGAAGGTTACTTAGTTGGTTGTTATTGACTTCTATCACCTTTTAAATGACTCTCCTTGAGAAGATATGCACTTCATGAGACAACGGTGTCTTTGTAAACATTCTTATTTTGCATAATATTATTTTTTCAGTAATATAGCCATGCTTTGCTAGACGATAGGGATCTTTGTTCGTTCAGGGCATTTACGGAGGTGGGGGTTTATCTTGTCATACTCTTATCAGTATTTATCTATTTCATTATCTCCTTATCCATTTTTCTCTCTCTCTCTATCATTTTTCACCCAATATCTATCTATCTATCTATCTATCTATCTATCTATCTATCTATCCTCCGCATAAGCCTGTTTTGTGAATAAATAACATTTAACTTGAGAATCATTCCTCCGTTCAAATAGAAAAAATTGCAGATGAGGATGTTGATAATACATTGAAATATAATCATTTTCTCTTACTTATCATTTTCTCTCTCCCTTTCTCGTTTTATATGACAGCGTGCTGAAAAGTTCTCGGCTAGACTAATTTAAAAAAATCACTTAGAATCGCTTTTTGGTCAGGCCATGGAATTCGCACAAGAAACTATCGATTTCAAAGTATTGTTAGATCGATACGTATCTGACTCCATTTACATAATGATGACATGTGCGTGGGTCGTTCATATCGTTTCATATATGCACTGCCTATAACTTGGCCATATCACGTTAAAACACCGGTTCTTGTACGATCACCAAAGTTAAGCAACATCATTACGTAGGTGGGTGACCGCTTGGGAATACCAGGCGCCGTAAACTTGGATGTGTGGGTGATGAAATGGTTAGGGACTCGAAATCGGAGAGACGACTTTCAATATACATGCGTATATATGTAAATATATATACATGCGTATATATGTAAATATACGTTTTTACACGTGGATCTATAGTTAAATATTTCCCGGGATCATAATACTTTGTGCAGAGTTGTGCCATAACGATGTGGATGTACAGACCTGCTGCAGATTCCGACAAATATTTAAATATAAACTCAAGTATAAATTCCAGTCAAGCTTGATCTTCAGAAATTTAAAGGCAATCAAAATTGTCATCTTGTGTCTCCATGAATCCCATTTTTATCATCCTTTGACATAATAATTTTTTCAGGTTCTTTCACTCAATAATGCATTGCATCTTAGTGGCTTTATCGCCTTATTTGACGTAACATGATTAAAAAAATAATCATGTTAACCTATAGACACAAGTTTGATTAAAATGATTTTGTTCTTAAATAGCCCCCAAAGTATTAATATGTCGTAAAATCCAATGTGGATCATCCGGGAAGGAGATAATTTACTATAGAGAAGTAATTCTCCGCTAGACTTACTCTCTACACGGTGAAGGAGCACATTTCTATGAGTACTGAACTGATGTGAATTCCCTGCAAAGTCAAAGACCCGACATGCTATGCCCACAAAATAGAATCTCCCTCATTATCTTTTTATTCCATGTTAAAAAAGGAGGTCCCACATTGAGAGCTTCTTTCCAAGAACAGGTACTTTGTGGGACAGGCTCCCAAGTGGCTGCTTCCCTGATCAGCACGAGATCTTAAAGTTTTGAAGTCTAACGTCAATCGTTATCTATCCTCTTTACCATCATAATCTTCACTTCCATACACAATCAGTATTTCTCTATCATGAGTGGCTCTTGGGCCTTGTATTGGGTGAGTATCTAAAATTTGGCTATTAACTACGTGCCCTACTATAAGGCTCATTGATTCACCCTTTCATTCTATTGCGCAGGACATTACGTTGAAACACCCGTTCCCGTATTACCATAGAAGTTAAGCAACACTGAGTTTGGTCAGTAACTAGATGAGTGACCGTTTGGGGATACCAGGTGCTATAAGCTTTGATGTGCAGGTGGTGCAATGGATAATGGCTTGAAATTGTTAATCGGAGCTCAAATTTCCCACTGGGTTCGTTACGTTCACTTAAGCACAAGGAGTAGACGGGTTCGTCTAACGTCCATTTTACCCTCCTTCCTGGAATTTTGAACAGGAGAAGAGGTTTATCGCTTATTTTCTGATTAGGAGTGGGTTTCTGGCTTCTTCTAAAGTCTTTTCTTTCTCCTTCACTTTCAGTTGCCCCTTGCGTCTTAGTGGCATTATTGCCTTGATTCGGGTGAATTGATGAAAATATTCTTACAATCTAAAAATATTTTACGTCTTTAAATAACATGCAAAGGGTTGATAAGCCGTAAATACTGACCAATCAATCGACCAGTCAACCTTTTTACGCCAAAGCTTGGGAAAATACACTTGTAGAAATATACAGTTATACAGCTGTAGTTTGCTTTTAGGCGTCCTTCTGACCTTCATTAAATGCGAGGAGCTGCTATGTTATTGTGTCTTATTTTGCTGAGGTTTCTCGACTATTCAATAAAGCAGACGATATTCGAATCAGGCAAATGATGTGCGTCTCCTGATGGGTGATGCTTGAGAACACATTTCTAGGTGAAAGGGTAACACAAACGGAAGAAGATAAGACCAATAAGAATGCGAATCAGAACAAAAGAGGAAAGACCTGAATAAGAAAAGAACACTAACTACAAGGAGCAAGAAATCTATTAACGAACAAGATCTTTGATAAAGGTATATAAAAAAATCATTACTTAAAAAAAAGCACAAATCAAGGCAAAAATGTAAAAACAGAATAAGAATAAAAAAAGAATAGGAACAGGATTTTCAGTTAACAATATGAAAGTAAATATAGGACAATAGATGGGAATGGGGATAAGAATTAAGGAATAAAGGAATAAGATAACTGAAAAGAACGCAGTCGGAACTAATCGACCCAAAAGAAAACAACAATGAAGAAAAAGAAAATAGAGAGAGAAAGGGTAAATCGAATACATAACAAACAATAGCCCATGTTTATTATTATTATTTTTTTTATTGATCCATTATAAACAAAGAGAGTTGTTGCTAGTCAGGTGTAATTTCTGATTCACATTGTCTGAGCGCGGTTATCAAAACGGCAGGATATTTTCCAGAAAATTTCCGAGCTTAAGTGACGGATTTCTCTAATCTGATGACACAAATCCGGCGTAGCTGAACCCCTCCCCCTTTTTTTAGGAACGGCGTTAATCGTTGCCTCAGTTTATGCTGTAAATATTTATATTTTCCCAGCTTGCCAACCAAGGCAGGATGTGACACTATTGAGTAGAAAGACCTTCTCTACCCTATTATTGATACATGGGTTCGTCCATCCACAAGGCGATAAGAACTTCTGCTCATGGTTCATTGACAAAAAGAGGGTCTCATAGTCGAATGCTACTTTATACTCAGTCCATTTTTCCCCAGTGATTTTCTTAAAAGTCTTACTGAGCAGCAACTATGAATGATATATGAACTTTATAACAGATCGATTTTTTACGTGGAGAGACCATGCACATAGGTATATATATATACCTGCAGGGAAAGAAATATCGTAATGAGGATTGGGTTACAGGTCTAAACATCATTTTTAAGGAGTTAATGAATCCGACAGCATTTCTCATTATTTTAAACGTTATATATATATGTAAGTTTTAACGGATATCCTTGTTTCTTTAAACAGTGTAAGTTTGCATATACCGGCTTGTGTATTAGAGAGACTTAATAAAGAAAATGTTCCTTCCGTATTGACCTTAATTTCAACAGCTGAAATATTCATCTTAATTTCAACATGTGTGAAGAGCACTTTAACCAACATATTGAAGCGACTCAATGTTTAAATACGTCCCTTGAGATTAAATTTCGCAGACGGTCACATATATAAAATCCCTAGTAAGGAAGTAAATTCAACTACTTGGTAGATGTGCATGCTAACCGTGTATTTATGTGAGTAACTTTCTGTGTTTGTTTAAAATTATAAAAGAACACAAAACAGTCTACTTGCAAGAATGGATACTTCAAGCATGAATTTTGGTTCTACGGCAAGCGTCCAGGAAAAATAATGAAGCATTTGAAATCATTGATTCGACTGGTTGATGCTTGGTGAGCCAGATGAAACAGTTGCTGTCTGGGATTCTTTAGAACATGGCATTCTGAATCTTAGAGAAGTTTGTATTTTGTTCCTGGAATTTACTCGTTTTTCTCTGTTTACGTTCTTGCTGATTGGCCGCGTGGTTAGAATGTTTGGCTTTCTACCATTCAAATCTCCCGTCCTGAGGAGGCGAACTAAGTGTACGGCACCTTTTGAGAAATGTCTAAAGCCTTGTTCATGAAATTATGTAGATGGAACTGTTCGGTAAGCGTCGAGTGTTGTGCTGGCACGAAGTCATAAATCATCGTGACCGAGGGTTTGAAGCGCACTTATTCAAACATAAGATTATGCGCGCTCTTCCAGGTCTGCTTAGCTTGGTTGCAGTGTAAGCCACATGTTGAATCTGTGGATGGAGAACAAACCCAAATGTCAGAAAGATGGTTAGCCTGTCACCCTAGCATGTCGGAAACGAGCCTATACGGGTATTTTCTAAGGTTAGCTTTGTTTTGGTTTAAGGCTGCAAGCATGAGGATAAAACTTTTTACTTTTCAGACATGAATGTCAACACGCCTTTATTGCTTGACGGTTGAAAACAACTCACTGAAAAACCTTTCTCCATCAATCGTTCTCACGCTTGCCAATCAAAATTGACTTCCATTATTTTGTCTTTATCTGATCCTTAAGGTCAACCTGAGAATACAATTCTCCCTAAACATAATAGCCTGCTAAACTGATTTAAGAGACGTTGCTTAACTTCGGTGATCGTATATGAACCGGTGTTTCAAAGGGATATGGCCGTAAGTCTGGTTGTCGATGAGAGACCACTGAATCCATGAAGGGCCGATAGTTCAGTTCAAGGCTATCAGAACTCCATTTCTAAAAGAAATCTTATTAAATCACTTGGAATAAAAGAGGTCAAAGAAAATTTACAGTAACAAAAAATGGAAGAGGCAAAACTTTTGAAAATCTATTAGAATTACCCAAATTACCAGAACCTTTACTGGGAATAAACTGCCTGCATGTGGATAGAAAATGAATTCAGTAATTAGACAAAAATAAAAAGACAAGTATGACAGGATTTATTCAACATTTACAGTTACCAGAAACTAAAAGACCAGCAAAATTTGTTAATAGTGGGTACAGTCTTAACAGCATATGATACGCAGATGACACCTAATTTATGTTATACACAGAAACAAACATACAGGAACTCCCAGACAAAACAGTAAAGTAATGCGAGAAGAAAAGTTTGGTTTGGTTTATTTTGTTTTACGGCATATCAACCTCAATGGGTTATTTAATGCCTACAACATTTTTAGGATACCTTCGTAAATAGAGTATGTATT